AAAGGTTATCATCGTTATTGTATAGACGTTACGTGTAAATTGAGCTGTCGCCTTTTAATAAAGCTGTTACCGAATCGAAAAGTTAATCTTAACTGATGCCTGCCACCAGGTTTCATATAGAAAGTAGTTTGACATTTTATTGATAACATTACTAGTTGGAACAATAATCTAGACTAGAGTACTTAGAACACGTTTGTGATCATGAAAATTCAAAGCAAATACATCACTGTGATAGCATATACTTAGGATCCCTTTGTCTTTTTCTATGCGCACCGTACTACTGCACTGCCTGGCAGAAATACTCAGTTCTGCAAGATGGATACCTTCTTCGTATTTTCGGGTCTGTCTCTTTGGGGGAATGAGGGTTTAGGACCGCAAACATTCTGCACAAAAAATCCGCAGTAGATTGGAAAGACCCACAAAGAGTTCATAAATTGGATTCTTTTATCACAATGCCGTTGGTCGACCAACGGTAAGATAACGCTGCTGCCATTGTGGCCTCACGCTTCCACGAAGTGTCTCTTCGAAGAGGAAGCCAATGCTTTTTTTTTGACAATTATGCTGAACACTTAAGAAATTTACACTGAAATATATTGTGTATATATATATATATATATATATATATATATACGTTAGAATCTAATTGGAGACAGATAAGAACACACCACAGTCAATATAGTAATAGCAATTTTTAAACTATTCAAGTAGACATTGATTACTGAACAGCAGATTTGTTAGCCAAGTTTTCTGTGTGGAGATTATGTAATGAATCGGTAATGTGCACGATAAAGTTTCTGTAACAGTGAGGTCGATAGAAACACAATTTGAAAACACATGACTAGAGAACTGTAAAAAAAAAAGCTGTGTGAAAGAATCCTAACAAAAGGATCCGAACAATTGAGTTGAAACCATAATTTGATGGGCTGTAACGTATTGAGCTTGGATGTCAAAAGCGCAAGTGCTTGAGTGGTAACCTTTTGTCCGCTGAGTAGCTCATAAACGACTAGGTTTCGAAGCTCTAAACGTGATAAAACCAAATAGTGAACTTTCTTATATATAAGAAAATAACGCGGGTAGATACGTAAATGTGGTTACTACACGCTCATGTGAACCGGTTAAGCAATTGGTAAGTTTATTTCTTATTATTTTGTATATTATAAGATTTTCTTTCTTTTTATTGTTATTAAGCTGCTATTGCTGCAAGTAGTTATATACAATGAAAAAAAAGTTCAAGATGGCTTGAATAAAAGTATCTGTTAAGATAATGACATATGTTCTTATCTCACTACTATTAATTAGTTAATTAAATTACTAGACCCCGTTTTGTTAGCAAGAGGCCCTACGCAGACCCTACTAAATATTAAAATGCAAAACTCATCGATTTTTTTCCCAGGAATCCGGAAGACACGGCGGTAAGAGGAAAATAGGAAATTATCGATCTGATTGCAAAACAAAATGGCAAAGACAACGATTCGTCAGCGGTACGATATCGATGCCCATATTTAGTCGCTCTGCCTGCCAATCTTTTTTGCTTTCAACCTTTACAAACCGAGACCTGCGCTGAATTTGGCTCGGCCAGTATGGTCCGCCTCTAATCAGATTTTCCTATATTTATTTACGTACACTTTCATTCGCTTTCTCGCATGACGACGACTACTAATGTAGGTAACGCCCGGATAATAATAATAAGAATGTAGTTAAGACGAAGGTGTTGTACAACGTAGGAATGAAAAATGTACGTTTCCAAATGATACCCCTATTTTCTATAAATGTCGTCGATGAAGGTCAAAAGCCCGTTAGCACGCTCCAGTGAACACTAAATAAAATTTACGCAACATGCCGAAAAACTTCTAGCTACGGCAACCGCTAAACTAATTGGGCACAAAACACAATCCTTTTCCATCTTTCCATAGTATTATTATTATTAGTCTAATTTCATAGTGTGAATATGGTTTGTATGTCATCAACACTGTATTGGATTCGCTCTTAGCACAAATACAACGAATCTTCGTTTTTTTGGGCAGTTGCGCGTGAAGCTCATCGTTTGAATCCACTACATTTTTCATCTCACTATCATCGTACACCGAAAAGCTACAAATATTAAATCACCACTGGGTTTCTTTCGACTGTTTCTGCTTGCTTACCTGCTTACTATGGGTGCTTAGCCTTTATTTGTTTACAACCGATTAGCGAAGTGTTTATTTGATGTGTCTCCAGTAACCCAAACAAATATTTTTCGTATTTATCTAAACATTTGTTACCATTGCATCATATTCGTTAGGCAGCATACTTCTTTTCTACTTCTGCTAAAATTTTCTCCCGCTGCTCAATAATGTCGTGTGCTACCATTTCCACCTCGTCGTTGTCTACTTCTGCCGCCTCCCTAGCTTCGTATATGAATTTCAATGCGTCAATAACCGTTCTTAGTTGAACTCTTCCGAGAAACGTACGTTTTAACATCTGGTCAGCTGAGCATGGTTTCTCCCTATCCTCCTCGCGACGTGCTGCGAACAACGAGTCCACCGACATATCACATAGCCACTCGACAACATCACGAACGTTTAGGGCGCGAAAAGGGTGCTGACTCAATGTAGTTTTCAAAAGTCGAGTGGGCGCGTAAAGCATCAGCTGTAGGACCGTGGCAGCGACTGCCGGGGTCGGCCGCCTCGATGGTTCGCGTTGAAGGCAAGCGGTAACGAGCACGCGGAGTTCGAGGGGCGCTTTATCCAGAACAGGTAGGTCACACTCCATATACGTTCGTGGATGCAGCATACCCTCGAAGAACGGATTTCGCTGACCGTAGACTTCGTAGATAAGAGTGGCAGCACTCCAAAGGTCGGCTTTCGAGTAGTCGATGAAGCTTAACAGGCCAGGTTTGGCCAACTGAACTTCAGGAGGCATTAGTGCTACATTGCCTCCCCTAAGGAAACCACGAACGGAAACACTCGAAATTAGCGACGTATGTAAAAAGGATATACCGAGTACAAAATGCTAGCACACACACGAACAACTCTATACCATCTAAGTGGACGTTATAATAGTGGCTTGTCGAAAAAATATTGGCCATCTTATATAGAGTTAAATCTAGCTTAAACAGCTTTCAAGTCGCATATTTTAAATAATAATAATATGGCCAGCCTTCGTGCCATTTGAAGGAAAGTCTTGGCCGTAGCAGACGTAACTAGTAAATTAAAAATAATAAGGCTCATTATGTTTTGTACAATTTTGTTACTACCAAAACTGTATTACCAGACTGTAAAAAAACAGCCTGAAAGTAGTTCTATTGCTTTCGCCATATCGATTCGATGTGAAAGATGCTCCTCATAATGATCTGCCGGTTGCGGAATCGATCAACGCCGATACATAAATAGCCATGATATTGCCAAAGAGCTAAACGTGCATAAACAAACAGTTCAACCACTGGGAAATCTATATGCCGAAGTACAAATTGTATAGAGAAAAAGTAAACAAAAGGTAAGCTTTGTTTAGGCGCCGTATATTCATCTGCGAAGCCCTACTCATACCTAAAGAAATCGAGCAATTTTTAAAGCGGTTGATCACAGTGAGTGATAAACAGTAGATCATCCGACAAAGATGTGGAGATAAAATGTGCTCCATAATTTGTGGTTCGCGCTAAAAAAAGTGATACTTTTTTGTCCGCTGAGATTGAGAAAGAACTGTGCATTATGGGTTGCTGCCACCTGGTAAAATGACTAATTCCTTTAATTAATAAAACACCTAACAAGATTTTTACTTGGAAAACTTGCCGGAACTAGTGTAGAAGTTTGTCTACCGTGACAATGCCAGACCACATACATACGATCTTGCACCGCCAAACTACCCTCTTTCGTTCACTGCAGAACTCCCTTAATGACGTAACTAACGTAAAAATTATTTGTCATATGTTTTCATCCAGAAACTGGAAATCACAAATTCTACAACGGTAATATGTTTCTACTAGAATAATAAGAGATCATTTAGTTTCCTAATATTATATAAAAAAAATATTTGCTTCATTTTTGGCCTTACAAGGCTTAACATTGTTTCGACCACCCAATATACGTAGATCCATTCTAGAAGACAACGTTGTCGTGAAGAGAACTATGGAGACTGCTTTACCTTGAAACCTGCCCGGATACGAACGATAGTTTGAGTGGTGAAATACAGTCAGCAGGAATGAGACAACAACCGAAATCGGAAAGCGCGATCCTCGGTTCAGTATAAGCAGTTTTCCCGGTTTTTCCTGGCAACTCCACAAGAATATTGTCTGATTTCATATCCCTATGAACTATACCATGAGATACGAGATGTGCAACCGCTGTAAACGGAACCATACAGATACAATGACGTCGTTAATTGGGTATAAGCTTAAATTGTTTATCTACATATCTTTCACACGATACTGTATACGAATACATTACTGGAAAGACCACTATGTAAAAGCAAACTATATATACGAGCGTTAAATATGAAATCATCCAATATGAGATGCCAGACCAAAAACTCCCCAACTTTTTCATAAAATAGTTTATTTCCAGCCGAAGCGTACAACATTGGCCGTGACCTTCCACCACTTCGATGGCTATATTTATTCCTTTGCTAAAGTATGGGGCACGATATCCTGTTAAGTCACGTATTGCTTGCGTAAAACATTTTTCCATTATAAAAAGCTGTCGAGATTTTGAGCATTGTAATTTATGAAGCTAATGTCAGGTGATACAGTGAGCGACACAGAGCCTCCAACGTACCTCGTGCATTTTTTCCAATGTCATTCTTACGATTTGACGTTGGGCGTTGTCGTGCAATAAATGCGGTTCAACTCTGTTCATTAATTTTGGTTGGCTTGATCTCCTACATTGACAGTATATTTCGGCCGTAACCAACTAATCAGTACTCACTTATTCTGGATAAAAAAACCGCACTAGACGAGCAAACAAACATCTAAGTTTATGCAGCTCTAAGTTCAGTTTACGGTAATGTCCTGCTAGCTTAGTAGCATTCACCCACTGATATGAGCGTCTGCCAATAAAGAACCATTGTACGTCACAAGTCACATGTCAATGCTAGAATGTGTCACACCTCGGTTTTTGCTTTGAACTCTCGCCAAAATGAAATGAGGCCGTGTCTGTTAATTTTCTCAGTTTATCAGACCGAAACAAATTGGTATAATATTTATAATTCCTGTTTTTTTTTTTAGGTCAATGACTCACGGTACAACATGTAATACGGAGTATACTACCCTCGAATAGCTGCGCGCAAAGCGAAAGCCGGACATGCTCTGGTCTGTTCGATCTTTCAATCGTCCCACTCCGCAAGTAGCTCCGTAGACTGCAGTGATACCTGGATATCGGTTAAATAACGAGGACATCCCATCAACAAGTGAATCTAGAAACGAACGTATAACGAATGCACCGACATGTCCTGCATAACATTGTTGCCATAATTATTATAGTATATAATATAATAATGATTTTGTGTGAACTCGGAAGTAGGTGTGCCTCGTGTTCTCACCTTTTCATAACAAGGAACATGGTAGCGTTGCGTCCAATACCGTGCTCGTGTAAACGAGGCGGTAGAGCAACTGGGTATAGTTGGGTAGCACCGCGTAACAAAGGAACACGGTCGACAAACGCCGCCTTTAACGCAAGAAAACATTAAGCAAAGGCTTTTCTTAGAATATTTACAAAAGCTGCCTAATTCCAGAACAAACAAAAAAAAAACTTGATCGTTCCGTTCCGGATCGAATTCCGTCATCGTTAACTTAATTCCCGTCACATCTCCGTTTGAAGCAAAACCTGCTTCTGAACGAAACACTATAGATGACCCTCCTGAGCTACTAAAACTATGGTCATACCTTTACATCGACAATGCAAGGATGGGGTGGTAAATTTGCCTCCCGACTGGCCAGGGGTGACTCATTCAGCGAATTCTGCTGTCCGAAAGACGCCGTTTGTAGGGGAGCACATTCGCGGCTAAGCGACTGCCAGATAGCTGCAGCGTTACTTTCAGCATCATAATTGAACATCATCTTCATGGCGAGATTGTAAACGCCTAGAGGGCCTGATGGCACATCCTAAAGTAAAGGAAATTTAACATAGTAGGTAGTATCTATCATGGTAGTACACTATCAACACAAGAAACATACGCCCTGTTATATAGACTAAAATCCGACCTCAATTAGGTTAAAATAAAAATTTTCGAAGCGAGACCTTATTTGGAACATCTTATTAGGATCTCACTCTTATCTTAGACCAGCACCTACTTACGAGATATGTGACTAAAGTGAATAGAAATAAGTAAAAGAAGTATTTTTTTTCCCTCTCAGGGTAGTAAATTTTGCTTACTGTCTAGTTTTTATATCATCTGGTTATTAACCTGTTCGAAAGTGTTGATACTTCCGGCTGGAGCCTCCAGCTCTGCTGCGTACTTTCTGGGAGGCGATGAAGACAAAGGTGAGGATTTAGAATCGTCGGCGTCTAACTGTTCCTGAATTAAACATAGAAAACACGTTTTCACGAGTTTACAATTAAAGGAAGTAACGTTTCTCTGTAATTATCAAGTATTTTTATCTAAGGTTCATTGACTAGTTACACTGCTAGGTTCTTGCATTGTTTTTATTTACAATAGCACTATAGCAAGTTACGTATGTTTTAAACTGACATCATGGGAAAGTGACAGAATAGAATGAAGCAGAAAACGGAAAGTGCCGCTGTAGATATACCAACGTTTAGTTGTAGTAAACCTCGATGTCAAGGACAGTTAGAAATTACTACCTTTTGAGATTCGCTCTGGACTTCGGTATGTTACGTCGCGCCATAAGTACTCCCATATCCAAAACTAGCATCAATCAAAACAGGTCATTGTTATAGTTTTTTTTACAAGTTCCAATATTGCTTCAACCTCTACCGTTACATATAGCCCCAACACAGTGATAAAACCTGCCTTTCATTAAAACTGACTATGGAATAATCTGATTAACTTACTTCCTCAATGGTAGGAATGCGTTGAAAGTCGCTAGAAGCTGATGACCTCTCGTCCGATTCTTGCTCCTCTCGTAATTTTGCAGAATAAACAACAGCATTACATCCTTTCGCAATTGGACTACCCAGCTTGAAATTTGAGAGATTTACCTGAAAATACACAAAATATGGTATATGGCTGTAGTCATTACAGCGGGAAATGCATTAAGGTAAGAAGGTGATGGTTGTTTTCGTTCACTGCTCTCTTTTGAATTTTTTGCTGTAGAAGTATTACATATTGCAAGGAAGCTCTGCGAGGCTGTTATCATCGTCATGCTTGGATTACAAAATTTGCGTTGAACTCAAAAATCAATTAAAAAAAAAAAGTATGTCAATGAAATTTATTTGCGACAAACTTCTTTCCAGGGCTAGAATGATTTGGAAGCAAAAACTGTTGCGCGTACGGTGACGGCTATACAGCTGAAATGGGGTAGCAGTGCCTCAAGACAGTCCCGAAAGTCCGAAGTCGGTTGTTGACAGTTCTAGTGTATTCTCTAGAGCGTAATTCCATTTTTGATTTAACGAGTTTCAGCTGCAAAAGTTTCGTTGTACATTCCAAACCTATCGCAGATTGTTTCGGTTATAACACGAATACGAGACGTCGAAAATGTTGTTTTCCACCCCAATCTTCGGGAAGCTTTTTTTTCTTCGAAAAGTGTCTCTAAATATGATTTACTTTTTTATTAATATGATTACTTTGAGGTATGAAACGTGCAAAATGGATACACAAAATTACACAAAAAAATACACAAGTGTTAAGGTCATCCGTACGTTTGACCACAGCCTTTACTGATAGCAAATGTGGCGGACTTACTGGTCTATCTGCTGGGACCGGCAAAATTTGGCGGTTGAAGATGTCAAAATTGATCTTGTCGAAAATTCTCTGTAAAGAATAAATCCAGCAAGGATTCGCCGATTATTTGATTATTCAGTTATTATTATTTAGGAAAAAAAAGTTACATGATACGTAGTACTCTCATAGGTGTACCATCGCCATATTGCCACCATGCTATAATTGTATGCGTTCTTGTTTGCCGTCAGTAAAATATATTTACGTGTATACCTATTTCAGTGATATATGTTGTACTGAGTATTCAGACCGAGATCGGGCACGTACCCTAATCTCAACACAGACTCCCTCGAGTTCTTCATCGGGCGTTATCACGGTCGGCTTATCTACTAGACAAACACCAGCGAATCCAAGTAACGGCACGCACTGACGCAGAGCTAACACTCGTTGCACAGATTGCCGGCTCAAGGTTGCCGCCTAGCAAATTCCACAAAGACAAATAAAACATTCAACATACAAATCCTAGATTCGGTGGCATGTCTGAAAAATTATACTGTAAGCATCACGTGAGTCAATAAATTTTCCTTACAAAACAGTAAAGCAAAAAATATAAATGCCGTTGAATTTTGCTAACAATATACGTTGTTTGCTATATGTCGCAAGCCTGCCTCATCTTAAAAGGCCCCGTTTCGATTCCGAATCAATATCGCCATGATATCACACTCCAGCAAAAAGTAAACTTCGTAAAAGGTCAATTCGTTCCTTGTTAATGTCTACATACCGTAGTGTCGCGATATCCGTAACGACGTGCAATATGAGCTACGATTGACTCGTTAAGAACCTTTGCGTCTGTTGCAGAAGTTTCACCACTCGTTCCGGCACCGTGCAAGACGCTGCCAGATCCCCCGCTGCCACCGCCGCTAGGACCTTTAGGTCCTTCCCTTCCCCCTCGGACCTTCCCCACATTTGCGATGAAACTGCGCCGGGTGTTCGAAGTCTCGCCACTCCCAAAATTCCAACTGTAAGCAACAAACACAAATCTATTTTAGTTTAACAAGGTAGCAACAGGGGGTGGGAGGCAATCAAAAAAAGGATGCCAATCATTAAATCGTCAAATTTTCAAAATTTCCACCTAACCTCGTTATTTTGCTCCAAACTAGGGGCGTCGATTATAAATACTGACTCTAGACACCAACGATGTAGTAACCTCATACTTTTAGCTTAGTAACTATTTGTGAATTTGCAACGCTTAAAATTAGTTTTTCTGTGGCTAGACAAGATAGTATGACATATCGCACAGACATTTGGAGTAGCACACGAGTCAATAACACGGATGAAAATTGAAAAATGAATAGAAAATTACTTTTAATTTATTTAAAACAACGAGAAAAGGCTATTCGTAATAATATCTTCCAGGCTGGGTTTAATAGTCCAAGGTTCACAGGGCGACAAAGGCATTTATGAAGGCAACATAACCGGTTGCAATGTCCTGAATTGATATTATTTATAAAGGTAATGTCGCACATTCTACTGACAAGGCAAACTTGCCTGTGCATGGTAGCCATAATTTCTGCTTGATATTCATGCTTCATTAGCAGACAGACCACTCTTCTACTACCTACTCGAGTGGTACGAAGCTTTCGGAGTGGTCGGAAGCTTACAATCAATGTAGTAAAATGAAAATAAGGCAATTTAATATTGTACACGCCACGTGTAGCCGAACAAGACATCGGCGATTAAACATATATCACGCCAAGGATATCTAGACGGCTGTATGTTTAATCGTTACAACGGTATTGTAAAATGAGAAAAAACACGGTGCTTTTTTGAAGTGGCATGTTTATGTTCAAACGAGACATGTTTTGCTATTTAAAGGCGGCTGTCTGCGGACACAAAAGCCAAATCTCGTGCAGACCTATAGCACTATGACAAATGTATGTGATTCCTAGTGATAAAAATAAGAAACGTTTTGCTGATATTTTCAAAGTACCACTTGACTGTATTTCGCTTTATACGTTACTTAACATTACTTTTCAATTACCCTATACATTACAACAAGTGTCTTAATTATTAAATATTTGAGCTATAACTTGCCTCCCCCTAGTAATGTTGAGTTAGCAATAATGTACCGCGTAGTGTTCCTTTCTTTAATGATCTTCCGTATCGTCGTTCAACTTATTCTTATTTAATCAAAGTGGAGACATGTGAAATAATCTTCGGTATATGTTTGAAAACCTTCTATAGATTGAATTTACGTAAAATTAAAACTATATCTTTTTGTTAGGTGTTATTACACATGAAATTATATTAAGTAAAAAAAAATAAGTAAAAACTCACTTTGTGAGTTCATTTATTTTTAATAGATTTTTTTTAAATATGACAAAACTCCCTTAAACGTACCGTGATAATAGCTTTAGTAAATAACCTCTAATGAAGTAAGCTTGATCAGCGCAGGTAGGGGGCCGTAAACAAGTAGACGTCGTTTGCGCCCTTAGCCGTAAGGCGTCACACAACCACCGGGCTTCAAATTTAATCCAACTGAATGGTCGCATCCTCAACGAAGATCAATGCCCCCCTTACACGACATCACCTCTGGTCCTTTGCTGAAAATCAGCCAGTAAATGGTTGACAGCTTCAAACAGTTAGTCGAAATTCAATCGGAAACTAGCTTCTGATACGTACAATCTATTACACATTTATGCGCTAGGCTATGGGGCGTAGATGGGCGTTTTTGTGTAATATATATTGCCTACGTATTACTAGATGAATATGCAATAGAGAGAAAAAAATAATTCGTACTGTGGCGTGGGCGCTGTACTGAAAGAAGCCAGTAGTATATACTGTTCGCAAACCACGATAAAAGTGTATTTAGTATTAAAATTGCACAGAACCTTATTTAGAACCTCAACAAACAGAATTTCAAAAAATTTTACGCTGTAGACGCACGGTTATATTATGGGGTAGGTCCCTCGAATTCTTACTTCATCCCGTTCATTACTACGTTAGATTATCATCTACCAGGCCATACAACCGGCCCTTTGCAACAAAAGTATACTAAAAACAACAAGACGAGTCATTTTATAATTAACGCAAAAGCTACCAAATCGATTGAAAAATCGAACAACGAAAAAAGAAATACATCTATAGGTATATATATATATATATATATGATATAAAAAACGATCGTGGGATGGAAGAACTTCCGCAGCACCTGCTCTTGCCGACAAGTCTTTTCCAACTAAATAATACAACCGAGTTGACTGAAATATCATGCCATAGTTTTGAGATCAATAAATAGTCATACTTTTCGTTTGCCCCGCTGCGTACGTGCCACTTGTTCAGTATTTAAAATATATGAGTACCGGACTACGCTTACGCATACAGGAAACGCAGTTTCTCTCGGGTTCATATATAGCTTTCAAGGTTAGGCCAAATCAACCATTTGATTCAATAGCCCGCTAAGCATGTGGAAAATTACTGATTATATATCATGGATTTGACACAGCTGAACCGTTATACTTCAATATAACATTATGCACAATTGTTATTGGCAACGTAGTAACCCACAAATATAGATAGTTGTTACGATATGTTCGCCTGATTTATCTACTTAATCATAATAATAACTACCATTATTTGAACTAGGGGTACTCATGGGAGGCCGAGAGGTTCAAGACGGCGTGAGAACCTCGTTGGCAAATATAAAAAAGTTCAAATGCCAGATGGCTGCGTGTTCATATCAATGCGGTGTCGTGACTACACGTTTGTCAATATAATTAGTATTATAACCACAAGCAACTATAGTTGCCGTAAAAAAGTTGATAGACTCGAGCGATTATTGGATTCTATCGAACGCGATTGTTGTGTGTACGGCTAATTTCATTATATGGTCGTTTTGTGTACATACAAGTATACCGATACATATAAGGATGCAGATTGTGAAATAATAAACATAAACAGAATGCGTACTAAACAACATAAACAGAACATACATTCAATGACGATTCAAAATTTTCGGTTATTTACGATAGGGTATGGGGATACTGGGATTATTAATCAGCAATTCAGCATATGACTATCAGCAGAATCCGTAGCCTATGGCTGTCAAGATGGACAAGTAGTCTGTGTTAAACCTTCCGGTAGTTCCAGTCAGCAAAAAGTCCTCCGAGAAACTATTATTAGTTTCTCATTTGTAGTTTCAATTATTAGTTTCTATAGTAATAACTTCTTTTTTCGCAAATTGTTTGTTTTCTATTAATGCTGGCGTATTGTGAGTCAGTTAAACGAGTGCCTATATCACCAAGAGCTCTAACGCCATAAGCGTTTGTGGCGATAACAGATGCGCAACAGAAAACATGTTCAACGATTTCTGCAATTCTAGCTCCGTATAGCGCCTAACATTTCGCAGACGTACCCCGACTGTTCGAAGTCAACGACGTCTACATGTACAGAAATCAAACTGTAGGTACGTTTAAACTACTTAACTAATGCATTGCGTCTTTACGACACCTCTACGGAATCTCTGAGGAACGGCAAAATCAAACCAATAAAAATGACGCCACCGTTCAGTTCAGAAGACGTTTGCACTGGCAGGGCATTCTAGGTAAGCCTTTTGTACACAGCATATGTGCAGGATACTTTTTCTTGTTGTCGCCTGAACTTGAAGACCACACGCAACTGAGTGATTGATACTATACGACTCTACGTGTAAACGCAACAAGCAGTGTCTCTCACGTACAATTCATTCACGGTATCTCAAAAAGATGAGAACGATCAGAACCCGTAGAGGGTAACAGAAAGAACACCACTTCACACTGAGATGTTGTCAATCGGAATTTGCCATTATAGGTTGCTACAGAGACACACAGACAAACTAGCACAATGTTCTTACGACTGCTGTCTCACACTGGGTATGAACAACACTCACAGCCAACTAGTAGAAATACTTACTTACTGAAGCTATGGTTGTTAGCCGAGGCTCAACGTTAATCAAGATGATATGGTCAAATGTATGGAAGCATCGCGAGCCGCTTAAGGCTGCTTCATTGCGGGCGATGTGCTGTTAGCAATACGACATCACCAAAGCAATTGAGTTTAATGGCGTTTTTTTGGACTTACGATTGTTACGCAATTCATTTACCTGCGTATGGTGGAGTGGATTTCGGCGATTTAGGGGCCTAAGGACAACAAAGCAGGTTTCGGAAAATGTGTAACTGTACTTAACGATTTTCAGCTGAAGTTAGAAGCAATCTGAAACTCCAACTATGACTGAATACGGACGAAATTTCATAGAAAACATGATAATCCAAAAACTATGTTACGTACAGCTTTACTATAAAGGTCATTACTTTACTATAAAAGCTATCAGCACAATAATCCCGAAAGATGAAGAGTTCTGCTAGTTTTGGGGTGCCCTGCTACATAATACAATGTTTGTCCATTACGTCGCGTTAGTTAGACTGAAAATGGGTTGATATTGGTGAACGATGAAGAACTGCTTGAAGAATATTGGTGAACGCAGCAGATACCTACTAGAAGTCAGTGTTCCGAATAATTTCACGTAACAGCTGACTAAGCCTTTTGTATTTTGGGCGTTACCATTTAATTTTCACCCGTTAAAATAAAATAATCACTGACTTAGCCAGTATGTGAATAAATGAAAGTCTGAAAGAGATTCGTCATAGATACTCCTCATTGACCAACGTCTTCCTCTACTGCCTTCGTTTGTTTTGATTCAAGCAGATTCAAAATGTCACGGTGCCTATGTACGCAAACACTGGTGTCGTCTGCGCGACAAAACCTATATTGATGTAAATAAACATTTATCCTCTCTGTTTCTACCCCACAAGTGTCTCCCTATGTGATACTGTTAGTGCGGGCAGTCGGTAAAACTTACGGAAAAGGAACTCTCGCAAATAGTGTGGGCTTCTGTTTGGCTCCTGTACCTCCATCATTACTCTACAGTAGCACTCACTTCTTCTACGAAATAGTCTATGAGTGTGCATTGTGCGTATCTGTCGGTCCGTCCGACAAATTTTCCGCGAGTACATTATAGCAACGCCTAAACGCCAGTCGTAAGGAAAAAAAGTTGGCGTGATAAAAAAAAAAAAAAGTTTCGATATGGTGAGTTTACTTCCATTCGAGTAGAGCACCATTAGTTTATAGCGCGTAGCTAGGCCGAGCAAAATTTTCGTTCGAATGATACCTGCTGACTAACAAATGGTAACTGACCGATGACAAACGATTTCCCGTTTGTCGGTTATGCCACCTTGTGCAAAATAATCAGTTTTTTTCTATAGATAACCATATGGACAACTGATAAGGCGATCTGGCGCAGAGCGTATGAAGCTGTTATGTAACGCTATATTGGATATATCTATGTAAGGAAACATGGCTAAGAATGGGCAGATGAATAGGTGGTATCAGAATCGTATATAGACTCTAGCCTATGGACAGCTGACGGGACAAAGGAAAATTCAATGTAAACAATAAACACGGAGACCGCCCAGCAGAAGTATTTGAGATTTCGGACGAAGCATATGAAATATTGCGCTATATTTAAACAGATGTTTCCCGCATAAGGCCTTTCGTTTACACCACATGCTAGTTCGCAGCTCTATATATACGCACAATTAAAACTATATGACTATTGCTACAGATTTCTTTATCCCAATATAGTTAAGCTTGATTACGGTTATTATGAGTATTTTTGCGATTAGTTTGCAAACCAAGTTGCGTAAGCCTGGTTCTTAACAGCTCTGCTCATGTGGAAATAGTGACACGTTCCAACATCAGTATCGTGTTCAGCTGGAACAAATGGCTACTTAATTATTTGTTTGAATATATTTATCTGTTTGTCAGAATTAAACCGTTTCGTGCACGTTTTTGGCACACGGTTTAAAAAAATGTTATAAAATGAGAAAAACATATATATATATATATATAAATTGTAAAGATAAATGGTCGTGATATAAGCTAAAGCTTAATGTTTTCAGGAAAGCTTCTCATACGCTAATCTGAGCCCTAAAAGCCACCATAAGTACGTTGAGATATCTTATCTACAATAGATAGGGTTGGTTACATCTAAGTCTGGCTAACATCTGTTACATCTAAGGCGGCTCTGTTTCTTACTTTTCAGGCGTGCCCCATCAAAGATATCGCGCTTCCGAAGGATGCGCCTCGTGAACTCCTCATAGAGAAACATACTAAATATATCATCGAATTCGCCAATAAGAAGGATTCATACGTGAGTGTTAGTTTCCATGTTACGTTCTAACGTGGTTGTAACCAGCTCCATCCACTGATTGCTCTCGAAAGTAGCAATGTGTTAATAATACAACATTAAAATCGATGTTTCTACAAAAAAAATTAGCTTTATAGTGTTGTTAAGACTTCTAACACTGGTCTGGTTGAACGCAGTTCGGATCAGTTTGCTTAGTTCAGCTTCTGTCGTTGATTAGCCACACTACAATTTAAAGTCATAGTTTTTTCAACGTAGATACGTATGATGTTTATGTCGATTTGTCTGAATGCACAGGAGTACGCAATTACGGAACACCTTCGCATGAGTGGCATCTATTGGTCGATGACTGCCGTTGATTTGATGGGTGCTCTGGCGGAGTTCGATCGGAACGACCTTATTTCCTTTGTCAAAGGCTGTCAGCATTCTTGTGGAGGCAAGAACATTTGCGTATACCTAAAGTCAGCTCCTAATCTAAGCTTTGTTTCTTTAATTTCAGATAACATTTACTAAGTGGCTAATAAGTTTGCACCTGCGCAAAATTGTGATGCTCGATGTTCTACCCTGTTTTAATGGTTTGTAAGATTTGTGATATACAACTTGATGAATGACCGTAGTGCAAATGAACTGTCTATCTAATATCAGTTATAACCTGTACTTAACTATCATTGTAGGGTTCTCAGCAGCGCCCCGGCATGATCCCCACATATTGTATACACTATCAGCAGTACAGATTCTTGTGACGTTAGACGCCTTATCTGAGATCAACGTGGATGCAACTGTTGACTACGTGGTTTCTTTGCATCAGAAAGACGGATCCTTCTTTGGGGACAAATGGGGTGAAACGGATACTCGATTCTCGTTCTGTGCCGTCGCCACACTTGCTTTACTTGTAAGTTGTTATGTTGCAAAAATTGATTCTGCGACGGAAATTGCAATTTAATATCATACGACTTACTTTTTAGGGCAAGGCTCTGGACATGAAAGATTGAGAATTCTTGTCTTGAAGCCTGAAGGACTAGCGAAGCGGCACCTAAAAGCATATCCAAAGTTGGTCAGTAGCAGCACTAATTTTGTAAAATTTAATTTACCACAATGGTAATAGTAACCTTAATATTACCTTCTACCTCTGCAAATAAGACTTGCAAAAAATATATATAATTACGGACAGCATTCGAAAACGTGACTGAATGTTCTTGAAAGGATTACTTCCCAATTTTGCTACCAGAACACAAGTTCTTCGAACACATCTTCGTCGAGAATGTGAAGACAAGCTGCAAATTGAATAACATTATAACTCCATCCGCTAACTTGCACCAGATCACTAAACAAGTTCACCTTCAACACGATGCTTTGTTGCTTACTAATTAAAGGACAAAAAAATTTTTACCTCAAAGTGTTCACCCTATTTGTATTACGATAATTCTTGTATTGCTCTCAAGTTTAAACTAGAGACCAGAAATATGATTTGCTAACAGAGTGCACACTAAGCTTTTATAAAAAGTTTAGTTTCGTTACGATAAGGTCAGAGAAAATAGTATCCTCACGGAGATAATCGAGCTACGTACACGTCTTCGTTATCTATTCGTGTAGAAACGGTTAGATTCTATCGACACCTGCTCCGTTGCGAACCACGTCATGGCGTGTATGAACTTCGACGGAGGTTTTGGTTGTAGGCCACATTCAGAGACCCACGCCGGTCAAATCTACTGTTGCCTGGGAACGTTATCTGTGATAGGACAACTGTCAAGGCACGTTGGTCCACATGCGGACCAGCTCGCGTGGTGGCTTGCTGAAAGGCAACTACCGAGCGGAGGCCTAAATGGTAAGCGGTTTTTGAGATATCTCCAAAGCTATCTTTAAAAAAGCCCTTTAAAAATCCAAAATAATAATAGTTTAAAATAATCGCTAGCTGTCCGCTTAATTGTACGATACACATGGTCTTTTTGACGCTTTTGGGAGCAATTTGTCTAGCGAGATACGTCTCCTCTCGGTAATTGATTTCCTGAATCTCTATTTCACGAAACAAATACGAAGTAATCTTTATCATGGCAATATTTAATACAATATTAGTGTGATTTTTTCGTCAGGTCGTCCTGAAAAGCTGCCAGACGTTTGTTATTCCTGGTGGGTTCTAGCAAGTTTAGCGATGCTAAGGCGTTTGCATTGGATCGACAAGGAAAATCTGGTACAATTTATCCTAGCAACACAGGTACGTCTACAGCTACTGATCATCGCCGGGTATCTGACCATCTCCTACAGTACTAACTGGAGTACTTCTCGAATTTTGATCAATTGATTTTGATTGAAGTTGACTTCTTTCATACTCAATGACATTTTCGAGATTCGCGCCCAGCCTTAGATGAACGCAATATAACTACCCAGCTGAATTGATCCTAAATTGCTTTTTGTATATAGGACGAACAGGACGGCGGATTCGCAGACAGGCCCGGCGATGAGGTCGACCCGTTCCATACGCTTTTCGGCCTTGCTGGCCTGGCTTTACTAGGAGAAAATCGGTTGCGCAAGCTCAATCCAGTTTTCTGCATGTGCCAAGATGTCATTGATCGGCTAGGACTTAAGCCGCAGCTTCTCGACTCTTGAAAATCTTATTGTTCCTTATAGTTTGCATATATTGATGTATAGTGGATATGGTGAAAGATCGAAAGGATGAACCGGTCAAATGGAGAATCCTATGCGGCCATATGTGTCTCTATATGAATAAAGACACCAAAAGCATTAAAAGTAATAAACACTTACGATTTAGGGCATTTCTTTTTCTCTTGAATGCATGTCAATAAGACAGATCACTTCATGAAAACTCAGGAAGTTATATATACATATATATAACGTGACTAAGAAGCCACTGAAAAGAAACTCTGCGGATGGTGACCTAGTAGTAAATAGCGAAGCGCCATCAATGACCAAGTCGTTATTCAATTCACGAATATATATAAATATGCATACGGAGGTATTTATCGGTCGACAATTATCATTCAGCGCTTCTTAAGTCTCTGAAGATCATCATTTGCCATGTTGATGATATCTGATGGATATGGCTCAGCGATAAATGCAGACGTATCTTACTATCGACAAATTCAATTTGAGGGAGACAAAAAGATAAGCAACCTTGTTACAAGTCAAGCAGACCGCCTGGTGTAACTCAAAATGTTATTTATCCGCGTTGATTCAATTTGATAAACTTATGCTAATATAAAACTAGAGAGTTGTTGCAAGCACTACCATCAAGGGGCACCGTGGTCAGGGTTGCTAATGCGTATTCCTTTGAGTAACTTGTCATACTAACTATGAATATGTGGCTGCTTAGATTTGAGCTTTGGTAAATAAATACTACTTGCTCTTCGCGGGTCTCAACGAGGAACTGAAAATGGCCCAGTTATGCTGTAGGCCTGTTTGTGAATTATTTCCGTAAAAGTAACTCACGATTCATGTTCAGGATGATTCAATATACAGAGGGTAAGAGCTAAAGGTCCGCTATTAGTTATAAGAAAAAAATCACTTTCTGCTTTTTTCAGAGCGTCATATTAATGTAAGTCAGGTAGAATCATTTCCGAGGAGTGATCTCCTTAATCTATCGCCAATTTAGGTGCGTCAATAGATTTTGTGGCAGTGGTAAATGTTAGGTGGTTTCACATCTTGCACCGTTTACTGGATATTACATTTAACTGAGAAATAGTCTTCGATTTGATGAAGGACATTTAACAAAATTTTACTGAGCGAAGTAGACGTAGCTATAGGTCAGTAAGTAGCGAGTATAACTTGCAAGCTTATATAATGGTGTACTATAATTTCGAAGTACAATTGCAAAAATTTGACCAGATCGCAAAAAAATTAACGTCATCTCCTGAAGTTTGGAATAGCACTTAGATGCTCTCTAGACTTTGTCAAAACAAGAGAATGAGCCACGGCGACTTCGGCACAATATAACAGTATATATATATATATATATCCTTTGTACGAATACGAATATTGTTAGCTAGAATGAAAGTTTGTTATTCCATATCAAGAGTTCCGCATAACATTGTTTCTTTAACGGTTTCTGATTCTTTGGATACGACTGACTAATCAAGCTTCCAACCGATTCAGGGTTCAAGAATGACACAGAGGTTGCAGTGTGCGTGATGCATTCTAGTCCAGGCACGAATTCATATTTGGCGCCGTATCCTCCTCTCTGAACGCCCTCCGCCTGTCTATTCAGTCGACTGAGGCGGGGCGCCAAAATCAGTCAGAACTGGGTGAGACACGGGAACAACAGAGGCGTTTCAAGCAGTGAGTGTTTCTGGAGTTTGTATAAAGACTAGCGTTTTTTAAAGACTGAATAGACAACGAAAGCAGCAGCCAATTGGCTCTTGGAAGAAATTACTGTTATCAAAGCGTGACAGGACAAGCAATAAAATATAGCCAATATGCCGGCCATTCCTAAAGGTAAATTTGTGTGTTGTTTCACAATTCGTTTTGGGTTAAATTAATTTACATGAATAAAATAGAGAGTTCTACGATATCCTGTAAGGCAAATAATAGGGTGATCTCAACTCAACTAGCCGTAACGCATGTTAATACTAGCGCTACATTAATAAAGATAAATAAGAGCAGATGAGTCTTAAACGTACACGGCGCTTATTTTCGGTGTTAAATGCATGCAAAGCTAATAATAACACCCAAGTACGTTGATACGATCTAGTCTTAGAAAGCTATCGTTATATAAACGTGCAAATACCTTAGATGTTAGTGCATAAGTTAGGTCGATCATAAGTGCATTTTAAATAATGTGTATGTATTGTCTTAAACTATGTTTAATTTATTAACTTTTCTGTATACTATTTATAAATATCGTGCAGTTGGAAGTGTGGTGCAATATGAATCTCAATGGAACAGTGGGTAATTATAAGTGCCAATAGGATGGGATACCAACGAGAAACTTTAAATAATAATTTAGTTTTATAATTGCCAATCAAGAGTTATCGATTGGTTATTGGCGCCGAACAGCACAGCAGACCCGTTTTGCTACGTTGGTTATAACAACCGACTAGGAAACATATACGTGGAATAAAAATGTAATTATTACTAGGGTTGAAAGTAAGATGTAAGATCGCTGCTCTACGGGTATCAACTACACGACTCCAACAGAATGAGTATTTGGTCACTAGTAATTACTGAGTGCCTTTTGTCGCTAGTTGTTGATTATGATTATGCTAGAGAAACAATAGAAGGTTTGCCGTCAGAGTGATCTAATAACAAAGCCCGCGTAAAGTGTTTAAATTAAAATAGGCGCGAGGTAAAATTTTATCAGTTGACAAAAAAGCTCGATGCAAATATGTGGTTTCATAAAAAAAAATAATTGTTCACCTTAGCTCGCTGGTTAACTTGATCAAAAACCAAAAACGTTGCGGTTATCATCTGGTCAATAACACGTTCGGTTTATGGTAGTAGGAGTTGCCGTTATCACGTCATGGCGTCCTTTCAAACGACTGATAAAGCTAGGGGGTCTTAGAAATGACTTCTTATTCTGGTTCCACACAAAGAGCACTCAATACTTAATAGACTAACTTTTTGCCATAAAGCCTCGATGGTACAATGTTATGTACACTAAGAATGTAAATATATTATGATGTTATAATTGATGAGATTTTTTTATAAATAATTGTATAATTTTGTAAGGTTTACTAAATTTCGTCCAATCAAATTTCGATGAACACAGTGTTATATGCTTCTTTTCTGCAATTTTTCTTATTCGGATTATTATTTTATTGGGAGCCTTTAGTGAAACTCTTTTGCACGACGAGCTACACGACGAGTGATGTCTATAGATAAATAGAAGTTTTTTTGGGTTAATAAGCAATTACGTGATCAGTCATGTGTCAAAATGTGAGCAAAGGATCGTTTTCCCTAATCTTAGATTTTAATTTATTTCCTATAGCTATGGAAGCATATTCTGCGATGTTTCTTGGGTGTTTTTAACCAATAGTAAACATACGTAAATGTCATAATTGCGGTAGCTGTGTTTTATTGTAACCACTGATAACGAGCGAGATAAATCGTCCACTAACGTAACATATCTATGATTCAATTAGGATTGTGCAATTTTTGGCCAGCAGTTTCATAATACTTTCGAATTTATTTTCTCCTCATTTTATGTAAAACTTGACTAGGTAAGAAAATGCTATATACAGCCTAAAATAACTATTGATCCAATGGTTAAAAAAAGATCCGTTTCTCATATTGTCTATCATCGGGTCTATAGAGCTTTAAGAGGCCTTTCGACGTTTCCGTTCATCATCGATGTCATTTCGGACAGCATACATTGTTTCCTGTAAGGAAATAATACAAGAGTAAAGCTGTCTTGTTTGAGTAATATTACAGTGTAAAATTTTACTCTGGAATACGTTTTTTAACTTTTAGTCAAATCTTATTATTCACTTCAAGGGAGGACAGGATTCTGTAGCCATATAGTTCAATTAAAGATTCGTCAATAGCAATTGTTAGGTTGCTTTTAGGGATCTGAAAAGTCGTTAATATATAAAATTTTTATCTACCTATACATTATAAAAGAAATGGTTAAGCATACGTAAATACTAATAATAGACTTTGGTGACTGACTCATCTTCGTGTTTTGTTAAGAAATTGTTTAAAAAGTTTAGTTAGGGAGTTTTATTTATTCAGAAAAAAGTTACTGGCAGCTTGAAAGAATGTAGGTGATTTCACTTCACCTACATTCTGAAGGCTTCATTAAATGAATCAAATAGGTAAAATTATGGAAACTCTTAATTAAGAACTGTGTGTATCGCCAACATCGTCACATTTGCTACTTGTTTTATTACAATGCCACAGAGCATATGTGTACCGAAGTCCCCTGTAGATGATTTTTTTTTTAATTCTTTTATATTCCAGGAGCACTTTTCTGTATGGGGAATCCCCTTTTGGATATGAGTGCCGAAGTGGATCAAACATTCCTCGATAAATATAAGCTTGAGGTATTATTTAGATACTTGTTTTACTTTAGTCGTGATTTTTTTTTAATTAGAATTAAGTCTATTAAGTAAATAGGAAATCAAATACATAACAGATGAGTGCGTCCACTGAAAACAATTGTCTAACGGATATTGCATCTATAATATGGTTAAATAGGTTTAAATTTTTTTTACCTTCGCTAACATTCGTTTATCACCGACCATTAGAAACTTTTCCGTTTTAAGGCGGATTTTTTTTCTAGTTTGGACTTTAAAGATGGATATTTATGCGGCACAATACATTTTAGGCTCCCACTAATTCTCTTTCTTGAATTTAAAGGCTATTTCGGAAAAAAAAGCCCAGAAAAAAAGGCTCTAAGTTCAGAAGATTGTTTGATAGAGCTTTTGTAACTTAAAAGATGACATTTTTTACTTCAGGGACGCACTAGCTTAGGTCAATTTTCTGAGTTCGACGAGGACAACCATAAGGCTCCTTTCAAGGAGAATCGTTATCAGACAATCGGAAGCTTTTAGTTGAAAGTATATCAGAAATCGCAACGAGTGAGAAGCCTTGACGAGAGCCGTATACAGTCTATTTTTGGTGGCTAATTCTTTGCTTGTTTGACAGGAACCTTCCTAACAGTGGTTGAAGAAGATGGGTGCTTTCTCTGTCCTCTAGACGCCATGCTTTAATCTAGAGAATCGCTTTTTTTTTGAGAAAACCTACATAAAGAGCTATGGAGTCCTTACTCTTATACGACACACAAATATCCCGGCGATACTTAAGTAGCTTTCCGCTGCAGATAGAAACAAGTAAAAGAAAGATAAACTGAGATGTTTATCGGGAACGTTTATACTTTAAATCTATGTAAAATTCCCATTTGCCACAGAACCCAATGGTAATAACTTCTTAGACAGAGCAAGATGCGTTAGAATAACGTATAACTATTTTATCACTTGGGTAT